TTCATTAAGAGCTGGCAATATTTGTAAGCCATGAAATATATCCGAAATGGCACAAAATGTTCATATAACCATCAGTCATAAAATGTCCCCTTATCGAGAGATTGGGTGTTGAAATTACACCAATATCTTTCAAGCGCTTTTACAACTTTTCTTAGATTCATTTTAGATTTTATATTTTCAAGGGGATATGTAATTGTAGAAGATTTTGCTATTTGCCTTTGGTTAAAACAGCTCCTAAGCCATAGTTTGACGTATCGGTTTGTAAGTAAAATGTTCCTTAAGTTCAGTAAATGCTTTCTGACAATCTGGGGTCCAGTTCCACTTGACGTTTTTCTTAGTTAGGTGGAGTTTAGGGGCAAGTAGCGATGAAAAATCTGGTACAAATCGCCTCTACCTTGAAGCAGTGCCCACTAGTCTACGAACATCAATAAAACGTCAAGTGGAACTGGACCCCAGATTGTCAGAAAGCATTTAGTGAACTTAAAGAACGTCTAGCGACCGCCCCCATTTTGTCTGCCCCTGATTTCGGTAGCACATTTTACTTACAAACCGATGCGTCAAACTGTGGTTTAGGAGCAGTTTTAACCCAACAATTGAGACTCAACACGGTAGTGAGTTACTTATCTAAGCCAGGTTGTTCAGATGGTAGAGCTTAGATGTTATAATAATAATAATAATAATAAATGTCTTTATTAATCAGCATACATCAGTGAGGCGAAGTTTAGCCAAATGGCTACTCTTACACTTAACCTCACTGTGTACGAAAGAGTAACACAGTTAAACTCGATACACAAACAAACAATAGTAATAATAAGAAAAAGAAACAAATGCACACTTGAACTATTAATATAATAATAATAATAATAATAAAGTGTCATAAAAATAAAACAAACCAACAACTCAAACACTGAGAGACGATTGCATCTCCAATAGCTGTTTTCCAACTGATTTCTTAAAAGAGAGTAAACTTTCTTGTTTGTTAGCCGCACTGACTGAATTGTAAAGCTCAACAGCATTACACGTGAAAGATCTCTGATATATAGAGGTGTAGTGAAGAGGAATATTGAACTGTTCATCATGACGTAACCTTCTTGAAATTAAATTCCTACGCGGAACTAACTTATTTGCAAGGTAAATAGGTCTCTTGGTAACGACTGTTTTATGTACAAAAACCAACATATGAAACTTGAAAAGATTATTGAGCTTCAGCCACCCCAGCTCACAGATCTTGGATGTAACATGGCTATACGAAGGCCGAAAACAAAACGACAACAACAATTTTGAATTTTCTGCAATCTGGTTTTTGTTATGAAGTCAAGACAAGGATAAAACAGTATAAAACAGTAAAGCAGCTTAGACATAACTAAACTTTCCACCAATTTCTTTCTAGTCTTGAAATTGAGAATAGAACGATTGGAGTAAGGAGTCTTAGGCTTGCATGTGTAGCTTTAGATATATTACTGACGTGGTGATGAAATCTAAGATTTACGTCTAAAGTAACACCTAGACTTTTTGCATGCGTGACGAGTGGAATATGGTCATTATTTACCCTCAAATCAATCATCCTTTCAAAATGCTCATAGCTGGTTTTGGGACAGAACAACACCGCAAAACTCTTGGTAGGATTGAGCTTCAAACAGTTAGCTTTGCAATAGTCAGTTATATTTACCAGATCTAAATTTATTTTATACGAAGCTTGATCCACATTAGTAGAGTCAAAAGTGAAGGTCAATTGTGTATCGTCTGCGTAAGTATGAATACTACAAAACTGTAATACAGTATGCAAGTCAAAAGTATAAACTAAATATAGTAAAGGACCAAGCACGGAACCCTGAGGAACACCAGAAGCAACATCGGCACTAAGAGAAACTCCTTGGCTTGTTCTTATTCGTTGCTTGCGATTATTTAAGTATGATTTAAAAAAGCAAAGAGGAACGTCAGATAGTCCGTAGTATTTTAATTTGGATAGAAGCATTTCGTGGTTAACCGTATCAAATGCCTTTGAGAAATCTAACAACACCAGCACAGTGTAAATATGATTGTCTAAGTTAGAGATAATCTCATCAGTTACGTGTAATAATGCAGATGTTGTGCTGTGACCACTACGGAAACCAGACTGACAATTTGGAAATATGTTGTACTCTTCAAAATATTTTACCAATTGCATATAAACAATTTTTTCCAATATCTTTGACAAGGCACACAATATACCAATGGGTCTCAAATCCGAATATTCTGTAGGATTATTATTCTTAGCCAGAGGAGTTATAACAGCCTCTTTCCACAAACTTGGAAATACTCCTTTTTCTAAACAAAAATTGACGATATGTGTTAGATGAGGTAACACTTCAGGAATACACAAATTGATCATTCCTATGTTAATTCCATCACAACCAGTTGCTTGAGATTTGATGGAAATTATAATATCTAAAACATCTTCTGGGGTAACTAAATGAAAGTGAAAGAGCGGAATGTCTGAATTAAAAGAACTTGAAATATATTCATCTACCGTGCGATTTATAAGACGGGAATTAACATTATGGGATATAAAATTTGATAAAAAATAATTGTTAACTTCGTCAGGATTGAGCAAGTGTGGGGGAATTTCTGCCTTATTTTTTTGGTAAGCTCCAAAATTTCTTAAGTGGTTCCAAAATTTTTTAGGGTTTGACTTTTCGAAATGAGCTAAATATGCTTTTTTCTCTCTTTTAAGTGCAGCAAGTGCGTGATTACGCAAAATTCTGTAGTTGATCCAATTTTCTTCAGTTGAATCATGTCGAAATTATAAAGTGTGGACACATGTTGAACTTTTACCACCGGCAGTTTTCCCGCCACGGAAAAATTCTAAGGCCCTTCTCAAGTTTCTTGTAGCTCTATTTATCTCACACATTGTAGATTCCAGAAGGGCTCAAGACACAGTCGTGAAAGCTCAACGTTAGTGCCTTATAACTTTTGCCAATCCACAGTCAAAAGGGAATCATGCATATATGCATGTACATGGATATAGTGGATATTGTTTATCTAGCCTTGCTGCTCATAAACTCATAAATCCCGCTTCTGATGCCCGGACATTTGTATCCGTCATCTCCGGCTTGTAGGTATCACTCACCGGATGTTATCGAGATACGAAGGCGCACAATGGGCAGTTTACGGATGCCCCGCGATGGTCTGATGCCCCGGTGACAGTCTACGGCCCCCGCGATTACGATTTCCGATAAACTGGACCCCGGGCGGCACAGCGGGAAGCTGTTTCCGGGACGTTCTTCATTTTATACGACGGACATATGAGATGGAAATGCTACAAGGACTAGGTTGTAGTTTTGTGCCTACTGATACGCAATGAACATACAGGGTTTGTCCGGAAAGTAATAGGACTCATTTTCTTCGGTAGAGGGCGTTCCTAGCTAACGAATGAGCGGCTGGTCAGTTGTCTCCGAGCACTTGGAGAGTCAGGACAGGCATTTTCGCGCGACATGTTTCTGTGGTGCAAGCCGAAAATGCAGCGTTCGTTAAAAGTATTCACTGTTCATTTGCTGAGAAATTCCAAGTACCGCCCTGTCACTTATACGTAGTGTGTTCTGGAAAATTTTCAACACGCCGCTTGAGGCTTTTGAGAACGATTTAAATTACACCATCTATACCTCCCGCAATTTCTACGTATAAAGGTAATATTTTGATAAAGAATAAAGGTAACTCTCCATGTGTTTTGACCTTTCATAGAACCGCGTATGTAAGCTGAGTTTTTACTAACGTTTCGGCCTTTTTCACAGTACAGATCAAAAAAGTAACAGTGACAATATATTCTATAAAGTGATAGTTGCCAGTTGTTGAGACACAATATGACATTCTACTGTAGTCACTGGTGCCTAATTGAAAAAACGTGAGTTAACAAATATTCAAACCTTGTAGTATGTTTAATAGTTCTCCGATCATTTAGAGCATTGATTCCCAAAGTGGTCTATATCGACCCCTAGGGGTCTATGACAACCTGCAAGGAGTCTACGTCAGCGAAAAAAAATTTGGGGGTCCATGAAATGAATATCGGGGTCCACGATAGATACACTGATACTACCTATTTACTTACATCATACTATCTTATAATATCAAAACATATACATTATTTATAAAAGTACCTATGAAGTAAAAAATGTATTATATATGTTTATAAAATTGTGTAAGTTGTAGGATGTTGGTATTCGCTTTGTGGTCGCAATACATTTTGAACTTGTAAAAACCTGAGAGTCGCAGTCTCAGAGCTTCGCCACCTTGCACTGACTTGTTCAATTCGTCACTCTATAAATACGAATGTGGGACAAATACGTTTATTCGTTTCCTGAATCTTGAAAAGGAAAGTGCTAAGAAAATATTTTAAAAAATATAAACAGATAGTATATCACACAAATTATAGTGAGTCAGTGTTATTTTGTTTGAGAGTGCTGGAAAACATTATTTTTTATTAAATTTCAGTTTTGTACTCGTAGTTAGCAAAGATAGATAAATTACGCCAATCATGACTTTAGTTATTAGTAGTTAAATATAAAATCATGCAAAATTAAACGAGTACTCCTCAATGGTTTCTTTTTGAAAGTTTTAGCAATCGGTAATATAATTACAGTGCAATCTCCGTAATTCGAGCTAATTCGTACAAGACGATGTTCGAATTATGGAATGTTTTCTGAAAAATCAAAAAATATTTTTAATATACAGCTGCTGGATTTTCTGTCTTATTTAAATAATTTAATTTTGCCCACAGATGACTGATGCCATATCCGAATCTCAAAAGAAATGTAGACAGTGCAGTGTTGATTATTTAAATTTGGCTTCATTCCATCATTGCCGGACAAACAATCGCCTATGTGCCTTTTATGCAACAAAGTTTTGGGCAATGACGCTATGAAACCATCTAAACTGCAAGATCATCTGAGAAGATGCCGCACTGATAAAACAGAGAAAGATTTGAAATACTTTCAAACACTCTTAAGATAAATTTCAGAAGAGACCTACACTGGACAGAATATTCGCTTCGACGTCACAAAGAAATGATGATGGTTATCTCTCGTTACTTATAGCAAATTCCAGAAAACCGCATACCATCGGAGAGAAGTTAATTTTGCTAGCCGTTGAAGAGGTTTTAAAAACTGTTTTACACAAACCTGCATCTGATATCATTAAAAGAATTCCCTTAAGCAACAATACTGTTGAAAGACGTATTGATGAAATGAGTTATGATATTGAAAGCTTCTTATGTAATTATTTGCAAACGACCCATTTCTCTATACAACTGGACGAGTCAACTTTACCTGATAATGCAGCATTATTATTGGCATATGTTCGTTTTATTATGAATCAAGAAATCTACGAAGAACTGCTCTTCGCAAGAACTTTGATAACCGACACTAAAGGTGAATCAATATTTCATGTTTTGAAGGATTACTTCATTGAAAAAGCAATTCCTTTATCAAATATAATATCAGTAGCTACAGATGGAGCACCTGCCATGGTTGGACGTTATCGTGGATTTAAAAGCTATTTAAAACAAAGTGTGTCAGGGGTGTTAGCAATAGATTGCGTCATCCATCGACAACATTTAGTTGCTAAAAATTTGAGTGTTAGATTGCATGAATCACTTCATTTAGTCATTGATGCAGTAAACCGAATCCGAAGCAAGGCGTTGAATACGCGGTTATTTGCGCAGTTGTGTGAAGAAAATGACGAACACTTTCATCAATTACTCCTTCACACTGGAGTACGCTGGCTGTCGAAAGGCTTATGTTTGACAAGATTTTTTGCACTTTTTGAGAATATTTTAGAATTTCTGGATACTAAAGATAAAATTTTAAAAGAAAATTTAATGAAGAGGAAAACAGACATCGCCTATTTAACAGATTTGTTTACAAAATTTAATATGGTTAATTTGCAATTACAAGGCGATAGCTCAAATTTGATTAAAACAAAGTTCATCTTATCAGCGTATCTTGCCAGAGTTAAACTAATGAAGCAAAATATTGGACGGGGCGAATTTTCTCAGTTCCCCAATTTGTCACAGACAAGCTGCCAGGAAGACGACGTTTCAACTTACGTTCAACATTTAAATGCCCTCTATTCAAATTTTGAATCTAGGTTTGAGGATATTTTGACTATGGTAATACCCTCGTGGATAATTAATCCATATGGTGACATAGAAGAAACGAATGTCATAATACAAGAGGAACTGACTGAACTAAGTACAAACGAAGAACTTAAGGTTCAGTTTAAAAACTGATATCAGCAATTCTGGCTGCAAAACAACATACCCGTTACTTATCCCGTATTATGGAATATAGCGAGGAAATTTTTAATTTCTTTTCCATAGTCATACCTGGTGGAAAGGGGGTTCAGCGCTGTTACCAATCTCCTAACGAAAAAAAGAAACAGACTGGACATCATTAGCCGAGGAGATTTAAGATTAACCCTTACAAAATTGACGCCAAATGTTGATAATTTATTATTAAAGCATCAGGTTCATCCTTCTCACTAAAAATATTGATTTATTGCTTATGTTATTTTATTTATAGTTTATTTTATGTTTTTTGGTGTCTGACCAATAAATGCCCGCATTGGGAATACGTGCCCGCATTGATTTCTTTAAAGAACCCCCCTTTATAGAAAATATTTTTTTTTCTAAAATAATTCTGAAAATTCAAGGATAGGTACACACTAAAATTCGTTAATTTTTTGCCTATTTTTAGATAACTTAAACGTAGAAGAAGCGGAATTTAATCAAACTAACAGTGAAATTATTGTAGAACATACGTTTATGTTATAATTAATAAGCGAACTCGCTTATTGTACTATTTTAAGTATTAAACTTTTTTTTTATTATTTTTCACTTTTTTTTTATTTTATCACTCTTAATTTATTTTTCAATGCGGGCATTTGTTGGTCAGACACCTGTTTATTTAATGTTACGTATATTTTACATAACAGATACAAAATTTTATTTTGAGTAGTTTTAATTTAAATTCAATTAATAAATGTATAAATTAACATGTTTTTTTACTTTAAGTTTTTAACACTAAACTTCGCTACAGTTAGAAATTTACAGGAAATCAGTATCAGGTAAGTAGGGGGTCTGCCCAATACGGAAAAACATGGCAAGGGGTTTACGACACAAAAAAGTTTGGGGAACTCTGATTTAGAGAATATCGGGCATGTACGTTGAAACATTAAACCACTGACGTACCGGCCATCAGTACTGTACTAAAACTTTCTTATCCCGAAAGTTTAGAAACCTCTCAAAACTATCAATATGTACTCTGGTAAAGGGAGGTTCTCCTTCAGATGAAAACTTCCGAGTTCCGTCACCAAGTTTCGCGGGCAGGCTCAGTTAGTTCCTTTGGGGCATTTTATTTCCATTTAACTTTTGAATTTTAAGTGGTCCGGGCAATTTCGTCTTGGATATTCACCCAGAAATGAATCCGGAATAGCGTGAGGGAGCTATTATGTTTTATATGAAGGAACGGGGAAGCAGTGAAATCAATTCCCATTGTTGTACAGAAGTTCCAGCTTGTTATCTAGTTGAATAGGGTTTGTTTTAGTCAGACGTGGACATTTTTTTTAGTGAAATGTGTAAGCTTGTCTCTTCCAAATCGATGCTTTCTAAATGAATATTGCCATATATATATATATATATATATATAGGTGAAAAATTAAAGCTTCCGCCTTTTGTTGGGTACTTCAAAAAAAATTTAAGCAAAGAGGACTCTTTATACTTTTTTAATTCTCTCTAGCTTTCAATGGACTTTGCCGTCATCATCAGGAGCTGCAATTACAATGATAACAGTAGCAACAAAAGTGTAAAATGAATTTAAATTGACTCAACTTACAGTAGTATGTGAGGATGTTGCTAATTGTTGTTTACGTATAGGATGAGGGAAACGTCCAGTAACATGGTGAGAGCTGGATACATGGTACAATGGTCAAAATTATATAAAATATGACAAGAACAAGTTAAAAACAGATTAAAAATTATTTAAAAAACATTAGAGCATTACATCGTGAAGCCACTTGATGATTGCACAAAATGGTGGTCATGGAATAATGAGTGAGATGAACCCTTTGACAGAAGGCCGAAGGTTGTCAATGTCTGTATTGAAAGATGGAACGAATTATGGGCGTGTGCCAAACGTTGCCAAATCACTTCAGATGATGTGATTTTCAGAATGTTATGTAAGAAATTGTTAAACCGACCAGAGGCAGTTGAATAAACTATATTTTAATTAATGGGAATTTAAATTAACAATTATTAATAAATCGTGAAAAGAGAATTATTAGATTTTGAGTGGAATGAAATTTACTGGTGGAATCGGCCAAAACACAGATTCTATTTATGTTTGTGAAGAGTCGAAATTTGGGGAGATATGTAAGTTCTCCAATTTTTCGCAGTTTAGCAAATATGAGTAAATGACACTCAGTTGTTTAACATCTGTCTTTTTGTTGATACAGTTGTTATTCATGAAAATGTGGGACATTTCCAGGAATAAACATTTGGAAAGGTGTTTTTCTTTATCAAGAACTTTGATACTTGCGTAATTAATATGGTAGGTAAGTGTGGTTGAAGCCCAGGTGCTCAAGCTTTTGAATCGAAATACTGTGATTGACCATACAAAAGCGTTGGAGAAATGGTTATACTCCATATTCACCTGTGCACTGTTGTCCAATCTATTGCTCGAATATTGGCCAAGCATCGTCAAAGGTTGAACGCTGCCTCATGAAACCATGTTAATCGATATTTCCCACCTTTGTTCAAGATTAAAACGATCCATTGCTCACAGCGGAAGTTTGACGCAATATATCTGTCAATATGTTGAGCGTGAACTGTCAAACATATTCCAACTTGAAAAAAACAACTGATGGGCCTCCCTTTATACAAGGTGCTTCAGTTTATTGTTGCATAAGTCTATATAAACATGGGTCGAAAAATGCGTGGCTTCCGAAATACAGGGAGTTTAAATTTACTTTCTAATATAGTTTTTTTTTAATATTTCGAACAATATTTGATATATAACAGTGAAAATTGGTATACGAGGGTTTTTTGGTACGACAAGACGAACCATGGGCATAGTTGTACTGTAGCCGCTAGAGGGCGCTCTCTACTGTATATGTAGTGTATTAAAATGACCGAAAATTTTTTCTTAGTGCAATTTTTTGCTTTTTGAATACAAATACTGATTCTCCGCACTTTTCAACATAAAAAAGCTCTCTTGTGAGTTTTCGTTATAGTTAGCCGTTTTTGAGATATTTCGATTTTTAAGGTTCGATGCATTTTTAATTATTTATGGGAAAATAATATTTTTTTTTTACATTTTCGATTTGGGCATTACAAGTAATTAAGATGATCGTTTAGATTGTGTTTTTAAACACAGCAATAATTCCTAACTCCAAATAAACTCAAAAAAACAATATTAATTTGTTTAATTTTCCAATATTATTTTTAACAACTTAAATTAATTATTTACAACTAAAATGCTATTGGATAGTTAGGACAAACATACAAAATCTAAAGTAGTTGCTCGAAATGTAAACCTAATTGTTCAATTCACAATTCACATCTACGAATGATCGAACGTGGTATAGCATTATTCAAATAAGGCCTTATTTCATCACTTGCATTCCTGATTCTGTCTATTAGCATATCTCTTGTGGTTACGGGAGTCTGGTACACTTTTCCTTTTAGAAATACCCACACAAAGAAATCTAATGGACTTAGGTCAGGGGATCGTGGAGGCCTGGCGACTGGTCCTCCACGGCCGATCCATGTTTCTGGATAATTTTCGTCCAGCCAGTTTCTAACTGTTCTCGAATAATGAGCTGGACAACCATCAAGCTGGAACCAGGCCAATCTTCTTAAATCTAACATAACATCATCCCACATATTTGCATGTTCAGCCTTTAAAAATTCCAAGAAGGTCGCAGCATTTAACCTTGCAGGCAAAAGGTAGGGTCCAAATAGTCGATTACAGTAGATACCAATCCACACATTCACACTAAATTCATGCTGAAAATTTCTTTCCCGAATTGCATGCGGATTTTCAGCGACCAAATATGTTGATTATGAAAATTTACCACTCCACGTCTAGTGAAGCATGACTCATCGGTCCATAAACCGTTACTTAAAAACTCCCTATTATTATCAGTTCTATCAAGAATCCACTGACAAAATGTGATTCTTCGTTCTCCGTCCCCTGGCTGTAGTCCTTGCACAGGTTACAAATGGTAAGGACGTCTATGGTCATTTCTAAGAACACGGTGAACATGGCTTGCTGAAATTCCCAAGGCACCAGAAACTCTCATAACACTTGTTGTCGGATCTCTATCAAAC